GTAGTTCAACCCCCTCGGTTCTGATCATCTTCCCTCTCTTTGAGACCATGTGATCACACTTGTCCAGTCCGAATGACATTCCAATGTCGTTGCTGTAGATCCTGGTAGTGTGGATCAGTGGGTCGATGTAGGCAAGTTATTGGCCGGTAATTGGATGGGATTGTTCCCTTCTGGGGATCCTTCATGATCAGGATTGTCCGTCCTTGGGTTAACCATTCTGAGTGGGTCCCATCCGTCAGCAGTTGGTTCATTTGTGCTGCAAGGCGTGCATGAAGTGCGGTTAGTTTTTTCAGCCAGTAGGTGTGGATCATGTCAGGGCCTGGTGCTGTCAAGCTCTTCATACCTGCTGCTCTTTCTTGGACATCTGCCGTTGTAACGGTTACTGGTTCTTGTTCTGGGAGATTGCTGTGATCTGTTCTGAGATCTTCTAGCCACTGAGCATTGGTGTTGTGGAATGCCTCCTTCTCCCATATGTTCCTCCAGTACTGTTCAGTCTCAGCCCTGGGTGGATCTGATCTTGAATTACCCTGCCACTGTGAGTACACTTTGGATGGGCTGGTGGAGAACACCTGGTTTATTCTCCTGGCCTCTGCTTCTCCCTTGTATCTCTTTAGGTGGGTGGCAAGGGCGGCGAGTCTGTGTTTGGCAGTTTCTAGAGCCTCAGGAATCGACAGCTTGTTGTACTTAGGTAAACTCTTTCCTACACCTTTCTGCAGGTCTGAGAGCTGATTAACCTCTCTTCGTGTTGCCTTGATCTTGGCTTCCAGCCTTCTTCTCCATGGGGGCTCTGCTTTGTGGCCTGTGGTATTTATCTTATAGCCAAGCATCTCTAGGATGACTGTAGCTGTGGCGTAGGTCAGCTCATTGGTCTCAGTTATGCCTTTAGTAGGGATAGTACGTAGCGCTGCATTTACATCTACTAGAAGACTTTCAGAGGGTACTCACTTAGCCTTGGCAGTCTTGGTCGTCGTGTTGATGATGGTTTTTGGAGCTGCCATAACTCCCATCGTCTCTGCATGTAACCTCTCTCACTGGGGTCGCTTGTATATTAGCATTTCATCAGTTCCAAGTTTTCTGCTCTAGTCCATCTATGTCTTGTTCCAGTAGCCAAATTGTCATCAAGTTGCCCTGGTTCCCTTGCAACTGACGCAGAGCTTGTTAACCCGGGCAACGTCCGAGCCGGTATGGCTCTTGTATTTGCGGTTTCACTGATGCCTGAGGTAGGCAGGTGATGGCTAACCAACCAGACATAGTGTTGATCAACAAACAGCAGAAGAAGGCANAATGCTAAATGTGAACTGAATGAGCTTTTTTACCTTGTATAAATACATCCAGTTCCAAGGAATACTGACAAAGAAGGAAAAAAAAAAAATGCACAGAACATTTTGAACCAGGAAACTCTTAACTGATCCTTGATCATGAATATGAGTAACCCAAAGATAAATGAGCACCCAACCTGTAAAAGAGAGAAATAAACCTGGGTAAACAAGATGGAAAATGCTTCTCTTGTGAAACTATAATCGACAACTATCTGAATTTATTAGCAATAGCTTCAAGTTTATCATTCTCTTTTGTAAAAAGACCCATTAAATACATATTCACAAAATGAGCACTTTATTTTAGTTTATATATGTGTGTGTGTGTGTGTGTGTGTGTGTATGTGTATATCTGCAATAAGATCCTATAAAATTAATCTGCTTACAACTAATATTAGGCCGCGATCGCCTCCATCGATCAATTCTGGACCGGGTAACAAACTCGCATGAGTACGAGTAATGTCCACCAGAATGCCACTTAGAGCATCATCCAGAGGCCCTGTTGTTGAACTGTCTGCATCCCTCAGAAACGAACGGATTGCACTCATGCTTTTGCTCGACAGCTTGATTTTGGCATCATAGAAAATCTCATTGCCATTACTGGGCTGAGGGAGAGAAAGTTGATTAAATTAGCTATTATTCTGTACATTCAACAAAAACAACAACAAAATAATTTTTAAGAGTTAAGGTTAGAACAATAAATAGAAAAAGAAAAGTAGCGTGAATTTAATGACATCCTGACTTACCTCACCCGCTCTGTAAACATCCCTCATGAGCCTGTTAAGGAACCTCTTAAACACCGGATGAGGCTCCCGTTTGGCCAAGACAGGTATTTTCTTTAATCAGGTGATGAAAAAACAAAACAAATTTGATTCCAAGGATAAACCCATACTAATATGCTTAGTAAAAATAGAGTTCCAGAATCTAATCTATAGGGATTTATATCGCCACCAAAAATCTACAGGAATATGTTTAAGATTTAGATTGTAAAGACAACCTATGACTGGATACATTTTTGTTAAACCTCCAACAACTTATGTCTTGATATCTCAGTACTTTATATTTCCTTTTTTACTATAGCATAAATATATTTGGGATTATATGTCTATAGATTAAATTATCAGTTTCTAATCTCTTTTGTTTGTTAATTAAAGTCTAATAATCAGTGCAAATACTGTTTAATGAAAATCAACAGTTTGAATATAAATATAAAGTTACTAACCTGAAGGGCAGTCCAAATTCCATCCATTTAAAAGAACTTAGCGAACGTCTGATCCGAGTCAGGCTCCTTCAGAAATGTGCCAGGTGTGACTTCCTGAAAGCAGCAACGCTTGCTGGCAAACTAGGTTAGGAGGAAACATACCTTTCAGTGATGAAGGGCTGGAACTTCACTCTACCTAAAGACACATCACCTCTCCTTCCAAGGAGCAAACTAGCAGTGTGTCTGAGACACAATCCTTATACAACAAAATGTATAGCATTTAATTTATCTCTCACATTTTTAAAAAGATTACTCTACCAGTATTTAACATCCGATGTTTGGTGTCATAGTGAAAACTTAAGAAGAAGTTGTGCTGTTCCATTTATAAACCCATAGCAGGAACAATAGAATAATGACTTAAATTATAATGATTTTAATAGAAAGAAGCCATCACTACAAATCAGCAGTAAGATGATAATTGGTACAATCTATCTGTCTGTCTATAGTTTTTGTCATAAATTGAGCTCAGAACAAAATGCTTCGAGGGGAAATGTAACTTATGCTTTCCTGTGAAAAGGAAAGCTAAGGCCTTTCTAGTACAGCAGGTTGGTTAGGATGTCTACTTACGCCTTCTGTACATAAAGCCATTCAGTGGCTTTAATGACTCATAATAGAAGCATGTATGACAGTATTCTAAACTTGTATTTCGTGAGACACTAGTTCAGAGTCGACATTCATAAAATTTCAAACATCTTTAAAAGGTCAACAAAAAACATTAATTAATTCCTCCCTCCAGCTCTGAATTATAAACCTTTACAAAGTAAAGGTTAAGTTCATCACTTAAGAACAACAGCTGCTACCAAGATGCCCAACATCTCTTTAAGGTCTATAACAAATTAAGTATATCAGTGGGTTTGGATGAACTCTAAAAACCATTACTTACTTGTTTATCCCCACCATTGTTCAGTTTGAAACCGTTTTAGTAATGAGAAAACATGATTAAAAACAAAGCAGAATTTTAAAAAGTTATGCATAGGAATGTATTTATAAAAGTCTTGCTGGAGACATTGCTTATTTTGGGACCTGATTCTACTACAAATGCTACGCTGCAGGGCCATTTTATGGAAATGACGGATCAACAGGAAATAGTCATATTATAGGCCTAAATAGAATTCCCTGCAGTGGGCCTGATGAGAGGACATACATATTGCAAGCCAATAGTATTAATAACAAACCATCTATAAATGTTTGATTAAAGCATGACATTTTGCAAATTAGAAGCAGTCATTTCATAACTTATTTATTTCTTTATTTACTATGTGCAATAACACAGTCAGGTGCAATAATTGTAATTTGGTACTGAGCAGCATTGTAAATAGTGTTGATTGATTATACTGTGATCCTTATTTTATTCTGACCCTTATTTTATTGTATTCAGATCCTTATCTTTTTTTTCTTCTTATATCTTATTTGTACTTATGATCTTATTTTTCTCTCTTCTGTTAATAGTTGCACTGCAAGAAAAACTACCCGCAAGGTATTAATAAAGTGTTTTTAAAGAGTTTTATGTATGTTCATCAAGAGGCTGTCTTATTATTGCCCAGCTACCTGATTTTGTTAATTCCCACCATTGTTCAGTTTTAAATAATTTTAGCGATGAGAAAATATGATTTTTTGCTTTTCTTTCATGCTAAACTCTGAAGTCATTTCTCTGATTGAACTTCTGACAAAAAAGGCTGCATGAGACAACCGTGCTTAGGAGTAACCTACTTTTTAGCTGAGATCTGCACAGGGAGGTGTTGAAAATGACTTGTCCTTCTCTGGAAGAACTTGTTTAAGTTGGAGCCAAAACACTAAGAATATCTGCTGGGAGAAGGTGATTAAAGATGCTTTATGTTTTTCAAAGCAATATATCTCCTCTTAAAATCTGCTTTAATAAAGACATGAGATTTTAATATTTTAAGCAAACAGTGTGGAGCATTTTCATCTCATTAAGTGTACAGTATGAACTAGTGGCAGTGCTAACATGGCCAGCTACACGTTACATTTTTGGGAAGAATCACAGCATTAATTACTGCCTGTTATGTTTCACATAGACATATATTCAATGCACACAAAATAAGTTATGGTATGCATAGTGTATTCAGCAAAATTAACTTTCAATGTCTCATTTCTTCAAATATGTCTTTTTCTCACAGTAAGTGGCAAATGCTAACTATAAATAGTAAATGGATATCGAAATATTATATCCATGTGTGAAATCTATTTCCACATCTATGTATTTCAATATAACATTTATTTCCTAATTTTGAATGTATATCTTAACCTATATGTTATAACAAAGTTTTACATCTTTATGAATAATAATTGAACTTTCTTGATCTCACATTGGAGAAATTTACCTCTACCTCTGCATTTAACCCATCCCCTTCAAAAGCAATGGTAATGATAAATTAAATAAAAAAAATAATGGAACTCACTAAATAGATTTTATTTATATATACATATTGTAAGAGCTAAAGTGAACGTTTTGTTTATTTCTCTGGTGGCACAGGTGTTCAGATCTTCCCACACCTGGTGTGATTGCTTTAGTGGTGTGGTCTTTTGTTATTATCTATATATAAGTGCGTTTCTTTGTTAATAATCTGCATATGTGCAGATTGGTTTTGTATTTCCTGCAGGATAAAACTCACCACTTTATAACTACCGACCACAAGATGTCTGTAGTTTTTACCATGCTTTACATTAATGACTGTCAGAATATTTGGTTAAATATCTTTACTCAGGGGGATTCGCGGTGCTGCAGTTTGTGGAACTGTTGCCTTGCAGCAAGTAGGTCTTGGTGCCATTTGCATGCTTTACTTGTGCATGTGTGGGTTCTCATCAAGTACTCTGGCTTCCTCCCACAGTCCAAAAACATGGTCTGTGTCCAAATGTCCGCCCTAAATCACTATATATAACGGGGACTATATGGTGAACTCTGTTAACTGACCGTGCAGACGGATGATCAATACTTTTTGCTACCTGTTGGTCACGCACCAACTTTGTTATTTGTTGCTGCTGTCACAACAAATAATGCTTTCTGGAGAGAGCTCTCCTCGCTAAGCATTCCGGGATATATCTGCTGTCTAGTGGCCATAATCACTACTTTTCATGGTGCACTGTGGAAAATTTCAATCCACTAGACATTTGGACACTTATTTAAAATGGCATAACCACTATATAGCGCCATATATAGTAGCTAAGGTGGACATTCAGACACAGCCAGGATTGCTAAATTAACTGCTATCTCTAAATTGCCCTTAGGTGGGTGTCTGTAGTTCTGTGTGTGCATGGTTGTGTTTCAGTGTTGCCCTGCGATGGACTGGCTACCTGTCCAGGGTGTACCCGGCCTTCAGCCCATAGATTACTGGAGATAGGCACCAGCCCCACCATAACCCTGACAGATAAGATGCATGGATGGATGTTTAATCAAAAAAATGCAGATTGTTCCATGATCAGCATTTCAGAGTGAATGTGTAGAATATACATCCACAAAGTATTTCTACAAAGACTGTATTCTTCCATAAAAAAAAAAAAAAAAACATTTATTATACAATTTGATTAGAAAAATCTTACATCTTCAAATCATTTCAAAACATCAACCATCATTCTTATTCTCATCTAAAACTTAGAGTAACAGCACAGCTTTGAAATTCCAATGACCCTAATAATGGTGAAGGAAGGCTGATCTGTATAACTCAATGTTATGATCTTTTTATACCAAAAGTTGAAATAAAAGCCTATTGAAAAATAAGAAAAGCTGTTAAAAAATGCAGAAAATGAACAGTTCTGTGGGTAGTCGACAGTCTTAATCATTTCCACCAGACAGCATTTGAAATTTCAGTAGATTTGATATGTGCCTATAACTAAATGGCACCAATCACTGATGGCTTTTGAAGTTTCTCCTTTGAAAAACGCTTCTATTCCCCGACTGAAGCATTCGTCTCCTGAACAGGGACTCCAACAGTCTCTATGTGTCTCTGTGATATCGTTTGTTTCTGTTCTTCTGTTGAGGCCTCGAGGTCCTGCAGGGACAAAACTCATGTGTAAACAATTCACAGCCATAAAAGAAAGAAAAAGAAACAATTCTGACAGAATACTACAAAGTACAAGTTAAGTAAAAAGATATATGTGAAAAAAAGAGGGATTATTTATAGTAGTAATACACTGCTGGGGCCATATTATGGAAATGGTGGATTAACAGAGAATGGTTACAGTATATACCGAAATAGAATGCCCTGCAATGGGTGTGATGATGAGACATAAATATTGCAAGCCAATATTTACAAACCATCCTTAAATGTTTTGCTTCTAATCATTAGATACCTGGATGTAAAATCAAAAAAAAAAAAAAAAAAAATCCCACAATGGCGTCTCAAGCATTTCTATTTATCAAGACGCTGTATTATTATTTCTCAGCCACCTGATTTTAATGGCTTTTACCCAATCAGTTCCTGATCTTTGGGGAAAGATGCACCTGCTATTCTGCTCCCACCTAAATATCCGCTAACTACTGGATGAATACAATCAGAATGTTTTACAGTACTCAACAAGCAAAAACACATAAAGGCAGAAACAAAACAGATGTTTACCATAATTATCCTTCGTCCTATTTATGTTTGCATGGCACTGCAGCAGTAAAACATATAATTCACATGTAAAAGGATAATTAAAACTATGATTAACCGTCTCATCTGATTCAGTTTCATGCATATTAGAGAGAACTCACCTGGGCATCAGTCTGTAAACTCTGCACCTCTGGTGGGGCTGCTGCATCAGCTCTGCTGTGTTTATCTTCAGAATCTTTTTCCTTTGATTTCACATGTTTCCCTTTTGTTTGTGATGGATTTGAATCTGATGCAGCATACTGGTTTTTCATTTGGTCTTTCTTCTTTTCTACCTTCCCCTGCTGGTCTTTCGAACCAGGTTCAGCAGGAGTAGAATTGTTCTCTACAACCTCAGGCTCCTCTTTATGCTGCTCACCATCTCTTTCATCCTCGCTGAATAGAGGCTCTGCAGCTCTTACTGTCTCTACCTTAGCAGGTGCTGGGCCCTCCTGGACCCTATTGGGTCGTCTTCTGTG